AGAAGGGATCAGGAATCATGTCTTATATTCTCTACAATGTGAGCATTGGATTTAAAAAAGTTATTTTAACTCAAACATGACACATGTGAAAAGGAACTATATATTTCATAAACACATTGCTTAAATGGATTATAAAGCTCACATCTGACAAATATCTACCATGTGTCAAGCATTGTAACATGTGTCCTTTACAAATGTTATCACATTTAATCTCCACCATTGTTTATTTTCAGGAGAGGAAACTGAGATATAGAGAGTTTCAGTAATTTATAGATTAGGAACCACTAAGTGGGGTCCTGCAGTGGGGAAGTTAGCTGGGGTTCAACTCTGCATAAAGCAGAGCTAAGTGAAAATTGGCCAAGAAGACATGCAGGCGGTCAGATAATTAAATATGACTAAGAGGAAACATCAGGGATAATGGGGATTCTGGCTAAACTGACCTAACCGAATTTCTGCTGAAGACAGACCAGCATGACCAGAAATCACCTAGGCAAAGGTGGAGGAGAAGGAATGTGATTGAATATATAGAGTGTTCATATAGAGAAGGCAGGGAGGGATTCTAAACTACTCAGCAGATTGTTCACAAAACTCCATTTTACAAGAAAATGCACAGATGAAATTAACTGAAAATCCAGAAGGCTTTCTAGTGTTTGGCCGAGCAAAGTGTCTCCATCCCTTCATATGTGAGTCATTGGCTTATTCAGTTAGTAATCCCAATGCAATCAGTGACAGAATTGTGTAGTCCTCATGAAAAGTTTCAAGTGTGCTGTTTTCTTTGATCCTCATAGTACCTTAATGGAAGAAGTTGAGTCAGGCAGTTATTGCATTAAAATGAGATGTTCCATTGATTGGCCAAGCAAGTAGCTTACAAGGCTGATCTAGTCACCATGTTTCAGCTCTTTTCACTGTGCATGTACTACCAGGAGACAGATCCCAGCTCTATAAAGTAGACAAAAAGGATTTAGTCACATTAATTGTTGATCCCAAAAATAGCAGCAATAGTAACAATCTCAAAAACAAAATTAGATAACAATTTCTGAGTATTTAATATTTTCCACTTACAGCTTTAAGCATCATAGTTGCATTAAAACAGTCACTGTTCATAACCAACATGAGAGCTAGGTACAGTTTTTAATCTTCTCAGCACTGGAGCATATTGACCCATTATTTTTTTTTTCTCTCCTTCTCCTTCTCCTTCTCCTTCTCCTTCTCCTCCTTCTTCTTCTCTCTCTCTCTCTCTGGATTGGGGATTGAACCCAGGGGCATTTTACCATTGTTATTTTATATTTTGAGATAGGGCCTCACTAAGTTGCTCAGGGCCTCAGTAACTTACTGAGGCTAGCCTTGAATTTATGATCCTCCTGCCTCAGCCTCTCAAGCCACTGGGATTATAGGTGTGCACAATTGAGCAGAGCTGACCTGTTATTTTCACAAATAATATTTATCACTTTATTTTACAAGTTAGAAAACTGTAGTTGAAAATAAAATAAGCAACTTGTTCAAAAATCTGCAATTAACCATTACACTATGCTGTCCCCTTAGCTAACTTTATTCTTTGTTCTTTCAATGGAGACAAGATAAAAAGAGAAATAAACAAATACTTGAATTTGTGGTTCCTATTTGAATTTCTTTTTATATCCATAATAATAAATGACTGAATTTTCATTTCAGAAGAACAATATTATAATGTGATATCTAGAGGTTTTTAAGAGTTATAGACTGCTTTTGAAACATCCATGTAGCTCAAGTGCTAGATTCTGACTACCAATAGGTAAAACCATATTTCATTTTTAACTTGACTAAAATCTCAAAATCCTTCAGGATTGTGAGAAAAACAATTCATTATATTACTTCTTGGTGAAGGTTTTATTTTATTTTATTTTTGTTATTTCTCAACAGGTAAGGTACATTAAAGAGGTTTCCTGGATTAGGGATGTAGCTCAGTGGTAGAGTGCATGCCTAGCAGACTTAAAGTAGATAAATTTGGTGGAAAAATAAACATTTAAAAGAATTTGGTATAGAAAAAAAAGTCACTTTAGCAAGACATTTTAAAAATATTCAATAATCCCGTTTGTGTGACAAAGATTACAGTTAATATAGAAAAATAAGAAGGAGGAAGAGAATAAGAAGAAAAAAAATAAATTTGATTAGGAATAAGACTTATTAAATTTTTTCCCCATATATCCAGAACCATAATATAGAATGACATTTTGATTATGCTTTTCTCTTTGCTCATTGCATCCTAAATTCTTTGCTTCAAGTATTGAGTAATTGTTTCAGCAATAAAAAAAAATGACAAGAGGAATGATTATTGTGTACCCATGAAATACGAGCATCAGAAGCTTCAAGTTAAGTGATAATTGAGCTCTGAGCAATGCAGATTAAAGAAGCATGTGAACTGAAAGCAAATTCTTGTTTAAAAATTATTGAAATTAAAAAACATGCCACTCTAAAAAAATAATCCATAACAGAAACCTGGCTCCATGATTGAAAACAATGGAGAAAATGTCAAGCTTTGAAAAACATTTGCATGGACCTGAAAGCACCTTATAATCTTGCCCCTCTTTATTTCCAATCTAAGATTTATTATTGTTATATTGACTGGGAAAGTTTTAAAAACAATAGTCACTATACTTTAATATGTAACTCATACAATTAATTTTTTATTAGCTGCAAATGTGAGTCATTTCATCTGACATTTCCGAAAGCCACATATTGCCTTATATTTATTTGTTTTTCATTCATTAGACTGATCTTCAAATAGTCAGTGTTGACGTTAGTGCTGGTTGAGCCATTCCCTAAGCTCCTCCTTTTCCTCTTTAATTGATTCTCCTTGACTGGAGACACACCTAGAAGAATGAAATGTATTGTTTCCCGAGAATATGGCATAATCCAATTCATGATATTATTCCTATGTTCCTTGATCAGCAGAAGTGACATTGGATAGGTCACTTGAAGAAGCATGGTGACCCCCTGTTGAGCTCTTCCATGGCTGGCAGGAACCCTTCTTCATGTTACATCCTTTGTGGTATCTAGTAAGCCAAATAAAAGTCAACAATGGTTTAGTGAACAGAACTTTCTTTAGACTCATAGTGAATATGAGACAGAAAACAGAACAGTGTAAATATTTACAAATGCAAATATATATTGGGCCAAAGGAAAGTAAGTGCAAAAATATACCGGACAAAAGAAACAATGAGGGTGGAAATTTGAATTGGAGACAAAGACAGATTAGTAGGAACACTCAGTTTTCAATTCCCCTCATAACTTTTCCAGGTGAATTTTCCCTGTTCTTCATCCCCGGAGAACAATTTTCTCTCCTTCTTCATCTATATAAAGTGTAGGATGGAGGAGACCATAGCATAATTTAGACTGAGACACCATGACTACATGCTGTTCAAAGTAGGAAAAAAAAAAGACATGGTTAAGAAAAAGTTTTTTAACAAGTTAAAAACATTTTTACATCTATGTTAAAAACTATAATGTAAAAAGTGTCTTGGTCTCTCCAGGAATTAGATGATGGTTAGACCAACACTTTCCTATGCTTCCTTCTTGCAGGTTATGTTTACAACATAGTATTTGCATGTGTGCTTTTTTCACCCAAAGAGCACATTATTCTACACAATCCATTTAAAAATTGGTGATGACTCCATTCATGTGTCTTTTGTTTACCTAACAATGTATCTTTCTTTATCATTATGTATCAAGTCTCCTTCATGCATTTTCATAATTTAATGTGCAATTTAAATGATTTTAAACATAAAGGTTATAACAATTATTTGCATATACAACTACAGCATAATGAATCCTACTATAATGTATAATTATAATGCACCAATAAAATTTTAAAAAACTAGTATTAAATAATGGCTCAATATTTTAGTAAGTGTACAAAGTAAGGTGTTCCATTTTACGAAAGACTATTTAATCATAACTTCATTGATGAAAATTTTTTAGGTTCTTGATTGTTTTGTGTGCTAGATCATTATTTCTGTATCAATTATATATCAACATATATCTTCAAGTACAATTGTATTGTTTTATATTTTCTCTCTTCGTATTGAAATTGCTCTCACAGCAAACTATTCACACCTTAGAATGCCATCCTGGCTTCTTAAGTCCACTGGAGACTGATAACCTCACTTTGGACCATACTGTGTAAACTGGTACCCATGCACCTAAAGCACAATAGCTTCAGGCAACAGACAGCCCTGTTGTTCTCACCTTCTGCCTGTGCTGAGGCTGGAAGCATTAGATTAATTAAAAGCTTGTGCATTTTGTTCTGGGCCTTTTCAATTCATCAATTATCCCTGAGAAACAGCAACAAAGGCCAATTTTAGAGACTTCAAAACTTCCTGTAATCATGATTCCTGGCCATGGTTGTAGGGTCAGGAGTTCTCCTGGGATCAAGCCCAGAACATGGCTGGATCTTGAACAGGTTACTAAGGGCCAGAGATGGTTTTAACATGTTGCTCACCAAAGTATCCTTATGCCACTCAACATTCCATTCAGTCCCTTTAACTGAGAATAAAATATGTTTAGCTCCATTTTATTAGCTTTCGATCTGCCATAAACTACTGTGGGACCAAACCACAAAGGAAATGTTTATCTTCAAGACTCTAATATACATGAAGATACTGAGCTCTAGGAGTGTATATTCCGTTTAAGGATTGTCCCCTGCAAACACACGCATAAGCACAGCCACATTCAAACAGTCCCCTCCTCACCCTAGTTTTTATTATTCTTGAGGGAAGATCTCTGGGATTATAAAAGCTGTTTCCCCCCCTTCTACACTGAAATTCATGCAAAGAGCAAAGCTGGATCTTCTTCATCCTCATTGTTAAGGCCTCAAATGAAGGTCTTGTCACCAGACGGGGGCGGGAAGGCACTGGAGCGCAGCAGCACTGAGAGCATCTGAATTCCCCCCTCTATGACTGATTGGTAAAGAACTGGGAAGCAGCGACCGGCCCCCTGCAGCTCGATTAGCCATTGGCTGGAAAGAGGTGGCAATCAGGGCGGGCCCAGGCTGATGCGCTCGCTTCAGCTCGATGCTGCCACCGCGGTCGGGTTGCGCTGTCGCCGCTGCAGCCGCTGCCTGGGTTCCTCCCGCCGTCCCTGCCTGGAGGCTGTCTCTTGGGCTCCGGGCGCAGACACGATGGTGAGTACTTTCAGCCGGGTCAGGTAGGAACCTCGCGCTTTGTCGGAGGCTCTCTTTGGCTGTCTAGGGAACCGGCCCGCTGCTGGAGCGTGATGCGGGGTCCGGAGGAGCGCACCACCCGCCGCGCCGCGGGGGAAGCCTCTGTTTGCCCGCATTCCAGCGGGGAGACGGGAATGCCGGGGGTAGTTTCGGGAGCGATCGGTGCCTCTGCTTCCCGAGCCGGTCCTCTGAGCCGCGCCCCAGCTTCCCAAGCTCGGGAAAGGAAGGTGCGGCCGAGGTGCGGGTGGTTCCCGGCTCCCGCAGGGCCCGCGAGTGGGGAAGGCTGAGCGCCCGAAAGAGGGAGGCTCCGGGTGCCTTTCGCATTCTGTGCCGGGTCTTCAGCTTGTCTCCCGAGTTGACAGGTGAGTGGGGGTGAGAAGATGGCGTGGGGAAAAGGCGGATAGTAAAGGGGAGAATCTGCTCCTAATGGGGGGCAGGGAGTTGCCCGCGACGATCCACCTCCGTTGGTATAATAGGGCACCCCTAATAGAGGGTAGAGGGCTGGGTAAAAGGTTAAAGGGCGCAGTGGACGCAGATGCAGCGGCCTGGCTCCCAAGCTCCTTCCACCTACAGCCCGCGGGCCCCTGACACTCCGGTTTCTCCCTACAGTACGGATTTGTGAATCATGCCCTGGAACTGCTGGTGATCCGCAATTATGGCCCCGAAGTGTGGGAAGACATCAAGTAAGTGACCGGCTTTTCTATCAGGGATCGCGCGTTGGAGACCTGCGTGGGGGATCCTCTTGAGAGGCCCCTAGCATTGTCCCCCGCACTTAATGACTTCTTTGCCTGCCTCCTGGAGGGGTGGCGGGTGCGCATCCTCCGAGTTGTCTCCACCCGCCCTTAAGCTCCTCTCCTGGCTGCAGCTGCGCTCCCACGCCCCGAACTGGGACCCGGAGAGGACGGGTGGCCAGGGCGGGGCTGGGAGGACTAGAGCCACCGAAAGGAGCTCCTTGGGGTCAATGCGGCCTCCAGACCCAGCCAGAGCGTGGGAACACTGTAAGACAGCCTATGGCTCCCAGGCCCAGCAGGCTGGTCAGCTCCCACGCAGAGAGGGGGCCCAAGGGACTGCACAGGCCTCTCTGTGAGGCAAATGTTACCAGAGGCCTTAAAAATAAACGGAAGACCTGAGCTCCTTTATGATTTACACATGGCATAGACACATAAAATTAAGAGTTGTTTTTTTTTTGTATGCTAAAATGCACTCAATTTCTTGAGCAAGTGCATCAAATGTATTTATTCCTCTGAAATAATGTGTAATTGGAATACTTTCTTTTTAATGTCCCCACAATTCCCTTGGGACCTAATTTATTTGTGTTTTGTGATGAAGCTTGACAGTTCTGGGTGGGCATCCTGTTTTCAATCTAGAGCCTGGAGCCCAGGACTGAGGATATGAACTGAAATATCACACACCTGTGATTTTGAACCTGTTATAATGATGAGTCATCATCTCAGCCCCTGAATCATTTCAGTCTACCAAAGTTACCTCTCTCTCCCACACTTAAGAAATTTTCATCTAGTCGTATAACTGACCACTACCAACTAGCTGTACCAAATCATATTGCAGATTATAATCTTAAAGTAATAATCAGCCTAACACATTCTATCACATTCTAATGGTGCTGGAGAGAAAGGTTACCTCTGTAAGTAGATAAAAACATTTTTATATACTCTGATTTCCCTTAGTCACTGAATTTATTTTGTTATCTCATGTAGGTAGCAACTCCTTGCTATTGTTTGGTAAGCACATTGTGAATATTATCAATCATTTCTAACAGGTCTTATTAAGCAATAATAGGATAGTGACTTCTTAGAATTATATACTTCCATGGAAATGACAGAGGTTATAAATTCATCCCTAGAATGCAATATCTTTCCCTGGATCTGCAATCATTAAGCAGTTTTGCTTATTCCATACGTCATTTACATTACTCACAGAAAGCATCTATATATTACAAAAAGATGTTGAGATTTGGTTATTATAAATCAAACAATAATCTAGGCCCTAAGGCTTACTTTGAGACTTTGATTTTCTTTCCACCTTTTAAATATATTTATACGTTTACAGTGGTTGGTAGACAGTTATAGAAAGGCAAACACACAGAACAAGGTTTTAAACAGTGTAATTTAAATACAGGATTATTTGTAAGCTACTTTCTAGGTAAATTTATAAAAGCAACTTACATATAATGTTTTCTCGTGTGTAAAACAGAAATTTCCAGATTTTCTGGTGGCTATGCTATGACAATGAATGTTTATAATTTCAAGAGCATAATAAAAGATGACTATGATGATTAAACAGTATATACAGAATTTAACCACATTTAGAATATATGTCCTATCTATTACCATCATCAGTTCAGATAACTGGTAAATATAGAGATGAATTATACTTCCAAAACTTTTAAAAAATTTAAATGATCAAAACAATTATCAATATTGATCACATTTTCCTCAGAGGGGATGAAAATCTAAAAACACACAAATTTCATTGATGAGAATTTCCAAATTATGATAAGAATAATAAGTTATGTGCAACTTTAAAAAACTATTTATTAATTTTTATTTATTCATTTATTTTCAACACTGGGGATTGAACCCAGGGACATTCTATTGCTGCTCCACCTCCTCAGCTCTTTTTAGGTTTTATTTTGTGACAAGCGGTAATAACAGTCATCAAAACAACATTGTTTTTGTAAAAATGAAACAGGTCATAGGGTATTATATTTTTTTCATATAAAATACCTTAAAGGATTATTTTCCAGCAAGGAGAATACTGTTGGTTGAACTAGTATGGGCAATCCAGACATTAATTTTCATTCTCTTTCCCCTTCTCTTCTTCCTCCTCTCCTCCTCCTTTTTCTGAAGCATTCTTTTGGTGGATCCTAGCATGTATTAGGAGATGCAGTTTAATATCAGTGCCAGTGACCCTGGTTTAGCTCTGCGCTGAGGGAATTGGTCTCATACCCAGTTCCCCTGAGGGATTGTTAAATGCCCACTGGAAGATTATTTGCTTACCTCAGCAGAAATTTTCACTGCCTGGGGAGAGAGGAGGAGAAATTAGAGGAGTATAATTGAAAAATGCTGCTAAAATGATTCTGATCCTTCCTCCCTATTCCACCTTCCACTCCAAGGAAAATCATGGCATTTATTGGTTGAAGATACTTTCAGCTTGAACTTTTTTTAAGGAGAAATTTAATATGTAAGAAAACATTTTTCTTTGTCTCCATAAGTAACAAACTGCTCTATCTTCTTCTTTGGCCAATGAAAAACTAAGTAGATGTTCAAATATTTTATATAATACTTTTTTTCGTTTTAGTAGGAAATGGCCATCCATCTTCATGAGAAAGGATGCCAAACATTTAATGACAAATAAAACCCTAAGTAACAGATTCCAGACAGAAAATTCTTAGTGGATAAAACCAAAAATGCTTCATTGTAAACTCAGCATCCACTTTACTCTTACCAACAGTATAACCATTTCAAAGGGGCATTAAATTCCCTTTTTAGGAAAATGAAAAATTGTCCAAACCAAAGGCCAGCAAACTTTGTCTTGAAGGACCACATACTAAATGTCTTAGGTCTATGGACCAAATAAAAATTGAAGACATTGTGTAGAATCTACAGAATATTAAAATGTAACTCTTTAAAGGTGTAACAACCATTCTTACCTCCTGGACCAAAAAAGAAAAATGCACTGGGCCAGGCTCAACCCACTAGCTACAGATTGCTTACCTCTGATCTAAACATTAAATAGCATGAAAAAACAAAAGAGACCTTTAAATCTACTTCAAATCCTGTTTTGTTGATATCCATTAAAGTTTCCTATGGTCCTTTTAAGAGGCCATGCTTCCTAAATAAGGAGAAAAATCAATGATTAATCTAGAAAACACATAAAGTCAGGATTTATTTATATTAAAAGTGCATCTAAATACTTGTTTTAAACATCTATCTAAACCTTGCATTAACACTCAATAAACTAATTATTTCATTGAGTTCAATTTTAGATTTTTCTAACTTCACTGGAACATATGGATTTTAAATATGGTTTCAAAAAATTGAAAAATCTATGATGATTAAATATCTATTAAAATACAAATAACACGTTCTACAGATTTAGCTTAGTGGTAAAGCACATGCTTAGACACACAAGACCCTGATTTCAATCCCCCAAACTGCACAAAATTTTAATAAGAAATAGCACCTTTCTAAAACTGATAATCATTTACCTAGAATTGAGCAGGCTACTGAATATCTTTTTAACTATGAAGTGCTTCACAAAGTATTGATAAGCCTTACTCTGTTTTACTAAAAGATCTGAGATAAACAGTTGGATCAAGATTTTTATATGAGAAAAATAAGTTTGATAATAATTTAATGACATTGCTATTTGACAAATATTGTAGTTAATTTCTCTAGAGGGTTGTCAATTATTTTCCTTTCTGTTAAGAATACATAATTGTTTTGTATGGTTTTATCTGATTTCCTCATAGCAGGGCCTAATACTTTTTCATGCATTGATTCATTTTCTCTTTCATATATTGTTAAGCTTATCTTTAGTGAGCATAGTTTAGTGTTTCAAGCACTGAGGATAGAAAAGCAAATGATGTAATCCATTGCCTTCAGAGAGTCTAGAGATATCAGGATATTTTTGGTCTTTTTCTCCCTCTACTTTTCCTGTCTGAAACTCAAATATGGAAACATTTTACATGTTAGACAACATATACTGATATTCCAGTGTTTAAATTAACATTTCCAGTTGAATTTGTTAATCATGAATTCAACATTGTGGTTCAAGTAAACAAACATTTTGTTATAAAATGATTATGTGGTTCTCAAGTTGCTTACACTTTCTAAGTCTCAACTTCAAAAGGAAAATATATATATATATATTTTTTTTATTATATATATAATAGGGTTGTTGTAATAATAATGTCTGCAAAATGCTTAGTGCAATTCTTTTATAGCAGCTTAATTAATGGTAGCTTTTTAATCACTTTATTGTAAAATCAGTGCTTTTCAATATTACTTTTTCCCAGTTCATCTGAAAGATATGAAATTTCCTTTTAACAGTAGCAACCTGGAGTGGTCGGGGATTTAACTTGGTGGCAGAGTGCTTGCCTAGTATGTGCAAGGCCCTGGGTTTAATCCCCAGAACGATTTAAAAAATATCTATGTATCTGTCTGTCTACACACACACACACACACACACACACACACACACACACACACATGCCTATTGCAGTCTACAAACTATATATTCATCTAAATGTTTCCATATCACTCTAGGATAAGTGGTAACTACAATGTGTGTTTATTTATTTATTTATTTATTTATTTGTTTGTTTGTCTGTTCTCCCTCTCTTATCCATTTCCTGTAACTGGAATCTGAAGTGCCTCTTAGACACCTCTGTTCTTTACTTCTGGTTCATATTACCTTCCCTTGCATTCCTCAAAAAGTCCTTCTTTAGCTCTTCTCAGTCTGTTTAGTTCTCTTTCTATACATCCTGTGGATTATGGAAAAAATATTATTTGCATTATTCTGTTTTCCAGCTGAAGTTCTACTTTGGAGTCAATCTCATGTTATACTCTTCAAACCACTTCCCTGCCCCTAGTGCTTATTTATTGTCAGAAAACACCATGTATGCTCTAGTGTTCATTTTATTAAGACAAATTCAGACATT